AGGGCGGGGGGAGACAGAAGCAGACGACAAGCGAAAAGACGCGGTTCGCTTTGGTTGGGCGTTGATTTTGGCGTTGAAAGGGGGGGAGGATGACCCCAAGGGAGAGGAGACAGGGCCGACAGGGTCGCGCACGGTGCAGAAGGACCGCCTCACCCTACAGTATGTCAGAGCCTCATGTCCATCACCGCCTGTAGGTAGGCGCCTGAGTAGGAGCCACGCCCGCCAATTTCTTCTATTTTTCAATCTCCCCATATCACGTACCCGCCTGCCTCCCGCCCCCTCCCGCAGATCGCTTATGCCAACCTCTCTATCACTTCCCGCTCCTTCGCCCTCCACTCCTCTCAACTCTCTGCCCTTCTCCTCGCTCGTCTGATGGCCTCCCGCTCCGTCGCGCTCTTCGTCGCCCCCTCGCCGCTTCTCCTCTCGCGCGCACGCTCTCTCCCGCGCCCCCGCCGCCGCGTCCGCACCCCCGCAGGCACTCTCGCCCCCATGGTCTTCATCCTCGACTGGCTCTTTCCGCGTGCCGGCCGCCCGCAGCGCGACGGGCCCATCGCGCCGCCCGAAAAGCACGTCGTCCTCGGCACGTCTCCGGCGCAGCCGGAGGGAGGGTGGAAACCGCCGCTTGAGCAAGCCATCTTCGGCCTCGGATGGTGCGTCCCCTTGTCACGCTTGCTGCTCATATGTGCCGATGAATCTCCGCTCTGACCATGACTTTTCTCTGTCACTTGTCAATCCCGAAACAGTTTCTGGGGTGCAGAGCGTAAGTTCTGGACCGCGCCGGGCGTGCACACTACCAGTGTCGGGTATGCCGGTGGCATGGTGCCCAACCCCCGTTACCGCCCTGTCTGTTCCGGTCGCACCGGTCACGCTGAGGTACGCCATACATTCCCGAGCTGCAGTGACTGTTTTCTTTGTGAATGTTTGATGCTGTACCGCCTTGTATTGACGCATGAAAGATTTCTTGCCCCTCGATTTGCTCGTCCAGGTCGTCAACGTGGTCTTTGACCAATCGAAGACCTCCTTTGAGGACATGCTCGACATTTTCTGGGATGCCCACGATCCCACCACTAAGAATAGACAGGGAAATGATGTCGGCTCGCAATATAGTACGTTGTCTATAGATAATTGGCTACAGCATCGCCAAAATTGTATCCACACCCATGCCCGCTAACTCCATTCCCCCCCGTACTGCACAGGATCCGCAATCTTCTATTATAACGACGCACAAAGAAAGCTTGCCGAGCAAACGCGCGATCATTTTAACGATCTTCTCAAGGAAGCCGGCCGGAACGCCTGCACTACAGAGATCAAGCCCGCTGGAAAGTACTATTTTGCTGAAGAATATCGTATGTTTTTTCACTTCAGCAAAGCGTCTGCGCCTCCTCCTTGTCGCTGTTTGCCATTGAAAGTACTCACAGCTGTGTCCCATGCGAAATCCTCTGCATCACAGATCAGCAATACCTGCATAAGAACCCAACAGGGTATTGCGGCTTGGGAGGCACCGGCCTGTACCGCCCGCTTAAGAAAGCGGCTTCCGAGTAAGCTCCCCAACTTGCACATATCATGTGCTATATGCTTTATGCTGACTTTGTTGGCTAATAGAGTGAAATATAAACGAATAGATAAGAAAATGAGTGCAGGATAGAAGCTGAGCACAGCGTCTGGGCACAGCGGGTCCGAAGAGAAGCAGCGAATTTGGCCTCATAGATCGCTGACGTAGATTTCTGCACAGTGACAAATCGCATGATGCACAATCGATACCGTAATTATCAAAAATCTGGACGAACCGAGATTGAATGAATTGCGAATCATAAGCGTTAGCAACTGACATCATCGTACGGAACAGGACATATCTGCGCCAGTTAGAGCTCTCCTCCCTGTTTCCATCCTGCCATGACGGATGTGGAACATACCTTGCATGCATGACGTCATTCTTCCGTTACACTCCTCCACTCCTACGCCCAGATCATGCCTCTTAGTCTACCTTCATCGACCCTGTACAGTACTGCTATTGCATAGAGCGAGCAGTTTCTTTCGTATCCCGCCGCTGATCCCATCCAAGCAGGAGACATAGTTCTTGATCGAAGAGCCTCTCCGCACAAGAAAAAGTCTTCGCTCGCAGCGGCCCTTATTTGTTTCCGTCACACTCTTAACAAACATTTGTTACACAAAGATAGCTGTTTCTGTCGCAGATCAGGTCGGTATGGGGGCGACACAAAAAACGGGGTTTAAAATGTTCTTGTTACCCACCGTATCCTCTTGCCCTTCTGCATGTGACCATGCCTGCATGCCAGCTCAATGAAGGGATATACCGGCACAGCTTGCGGGGCCCACAAAAGAGTTTCTTAGTCTTTGTGAAGACACAGTGTGTGAGAAAGGGTACGAGGAAGGTCGAGTATCAACGCATTGGAAGTCCGGCTTCTCATGTTTGCACAATTCGCAGAATATGGGAAAATTCGCCCCACATCCAGACATAAAGTGCGTGATGAAACTTAGAAGTGCTGTACGACGCTTCATTATCCTTCTGTCGTGATGCGCCGAAATTCAGAAGATCGTGTAGTTGATGTTATATTGTAACAGGAGGTTCCATGAATTCGGTCAACGTTTTGATATGCCTTTACGCCCTTGCAGGCTCCGGCTTCAATGTTGCGATCAACCGGCGTTGAGTATGGCGTAACTTTGGTCGTGGTTTCTTGAATCGCATTGATTCAACTTTTCCGGTGAGTCACTTATGTGATGAATACGGCTACTGGCATTGCTACAAGACCATTTTAATGCTGTCAAGTTCGACGATTAGTGGATATACTGCAATGTAGGCCTACTACTCAAGCGTCTTCGCTTGCATCTCACTCGATGAGGTTTCAGCCTAGCTACAGCTAGAGGACCCGCCGAAACTAGAAGTTCCAGGAGGGCAGGGTCTGCATGTCGAAGCAGCAGCTGCTCCAGTTGTGGTGCTAAATGTGTTTGCAGGACAATCTAAACAGGACTCTTGTCCGCGCCTCGGCTGGAAGCGACCAGCACGGCACTTGGAGCAGGTGGAAAGTCCGGAAATGATAGCAAACGTTCCTGGTCGGCATTGCTTGCATGTTGATCTACTAGTTGCTCCTTCTCTCGTACTGAAAGTCCCTTTCGGACAATCGATGCATGAGGCTTGCCCCGGCCTCGGCTGGAAGCGACCAGCGCGGCACTTGGAGCAGGTGGAAAGTCCGGAAATGATAGCAACCGTTCCTGGTCGGCATTGCTTGCATGTTGATCTACTAGTTGCTCCTTCTCTCGTACTGAAAGTCCCTTTCGGACAATCGATGCATGAGTCTTTCCCCGCCTTCGGCTGGAAGCGACCAGCACGGCACTTGGAGCAGGTGGAAAGTCCGGAAATGATAGCAACCGTTCCTGGTCGGCATTGCTTGCATGTTGATCTACTAGTTGCTCCTTCTCTCGTACTGAAAGTCCCTTTCGGACAATCGATGCAGGAGTCTTTCCCCGGCCTCGGCTGGAAGCGACCAGCGCGGCACTTGGAGCAGGTGGAAAGTCCCGGAATGATGGCGAACGTTCCTGGCGGACATGGTCGACAGGATGATCGACCCACATCCGGCTGGATGCTACCCGCCGGACATTTTGTGCACGGTTCAGAGCCGGTCGGACTTCTACTGCCACGACGACAGAGTGCTTCTCCTCCGAGTATTTGTCCTCCGGCAAGGTACAAATGCATGACCACAGAGAAGAGCGCACATAGGGAAGTATTTTTCATCATTCAACAGATGCCGTGTTCAAAGCACTCTGACAACTATTGAATGGCGACCGGTGAAGGCATGGCTGCTGCCGAGAGGTTTGATTCCGGCCGATGATATAGGCGGTTTCGAGTACAAACTTTGGATCCGCGAAACCAAAAAGGGCCGGTCACACATCGCGTGGCAGTTGACAGAAATACGAACTGATCTCGTTGTACGAGAACAAGGTCATGCTGGTCATAGGGCTTGATAGGAAGCATTTTATGCTCCAGTATACAGTACTGTACACGGAGGCGTCATTGTGACGCCGCTACGTGTTCAAAGATTGCATCAGGCAGATGGACATGTCGTTTAGATGCTGGGTGATGGCTGGAAAGGGACATGCTCATGTCCTTTGTCCTGTATAAGCCAGTCAGTTCTGCAAAATAGTGATTCATGAGGTTAGTTGTTTCATATGGTTGCTAATCTATGAGGTGATTCTCCCCTACGAGAAGTGTACGATTACCGATGCAGATTGGAGGAAGGTGCGCCCACAGTACAATATGGGAGTACCGTATGGACTCAATACTGTACTGTACTGTACCAAGGGTACTGTATACTTCTAACACGGCCTTCGTCGAATTATCAGCACTAGTGGATGATGTGCCCTCGGCATGCTCGTACCGAAGAAAACGAACTTGCTCAGGAGGCACTTTGCAAGGGTGAGCAGTGCCCATAGGCTTCACAAGCAAATTCGTTTTGGAAGGATCATAACACAGTGCGAAAAGAATTGCTGCTGTCTTTCCAAAAGCTATCCGAAAGGGTGCTTCTGTACCTCACAGTAAACTTTAGTTCGCTTTGCGCACCGTAGTTGTTCGAATTAAAATGGCAAGCGCTATTACCCAGGGGTAGAGCGTATCATCTTGTGATGGCCCCACCCTATCCCATTTGTTTGAAATCATGCCGCTGCTGTCCCCGCTTCTGACCGAGCACTGCTTTACAGTACTGCCGACAACTCACTCGAACACCCACAGGGTTACAGTTGCATGAGTAGTTGATTCACCCTCCCGTAGCACAGGCGTTTTTGTAACACTACGCGTCGAATGATTCTTAGAACTTTCGAAGCATTAGGAGATATGATTGCCGTTTTATAAAAAGTGTGAAAATGCAATAACAAGTAGAGCAGTAGTCGTCGCGGATACGCATCAAAAAGGTGAAAACAAACAAAAAATGAGTCTCACGATTTCTTCTGAGGACGTCGATGGCCCAGTCTTCGACGAAAGCCTCTGAGCTCATTTGTATACAATTACAATGGAAAAGTAAGACTCTGCGGATGCGAGCGGGCAACCCTAGCCATATGTAGCCAGCTATGTTTGGGTAAGCAACCTCGCCGAAAACAGTTGATGTTCTACAGGTTATCACAGCATAGAAATACACGTGTAGGACGTGCGCTCCGCCGTCGCCGGAGCGGCGTGCCAACCATAGCGGAAGTAGTTAGCTAGGCCAAGCTAAGAAACCAATGGATTTAAGCACCCAGTTGCCTTTTTAAACGGGCGCTCTTTAAACGGGCGTTCTGGTTTCGAAGTTACCAATACAGAACGATTCAAGGTTGCTTAAAAAAGCTTCTTTGCCAAGCTTTTCTAAGACTGACTGGAAAGGAAACGCACTTCTCACGAAAACCCGTCTTTCCGCAACACAGAGGTCAAGTACGGTGGCGAGGGTATCCTTCCCCTTCTCATCCAGAAAGCACAAGTCCAAAAACAATAAATTGAAAAGTAACCCCGCATGAGGTCACTTGTCATCCAGTCACTACGTACTGAATGGTACCACCCGTGGCACGAACGGAACGTCTCTAGCGGATAGATTTTGATTTGGAGCAACAAACCTTGACCGGCTGCGTCAAAGCGGCGAGATAACTATAGGGTTAGAATGCAGGCATGTGGCGATCTGTTCCTCGAAAACTAAATCAATGTGAGTGGTTCTGTCTGGGCGTCAACTTAATTTACGACGCGACACATTCCACCCCCGTCAAAACCAGGCTCGAAGAGTAGGTCGCTTTCGTTCTGTACAATGGCAAACGCCCATGCTCCCCTTTCCCCGGCAAGGCGAATACGCTCCCCCTGGCGCGGCATGCCTTTCGTAGGGCTTGAAGCCCGATTTCAAAAGTTGAAGAGAATGCGATCTTCCGGCACGCCCTGCTCCAGCAAGTAGTTCTTGACTTCTATGGTCATGTCCTTCTTTCCGCATAGCAAGGCTGCGGTCTGCCTCGGATGTGGCACGCCAATATCCTTCAAGGCTTCCTGCACGTAGCCGGTCCTCCCGGTCCAGGGCTCTTTGCTCTCGTCCGGGCGCGACATGACGGGAATGACCTCGACGCCGTCGCCCTTCCACAGGACGAAGCGATCCATATAGGCCATGCGCTCCGGATACCACGCGCCATAAAACAGCTTGACGGAGCGGCGCTGCCGAATATTGAGCCCGTTCAGCATGGACTCGATGACGGCGCGGATCGGGGCAATCCCGCTCCCCGTCGCGAACAGCAGCAAGTCGAGCGGCTTGTCCTCCTCCGGAATGGGGGGGTAGCTAAGCAAGTCGAGCTTCGCGGTGGGAAACCCGTTGCCACCCACGGGCGAGACCTGCACGTCGTCCCCTGGCTTCACCTCCGCCAGCCACCGCGTGGCGTCGGTGTCCTTGATCAAGAACTCAAAGACACCCTGCACGTTCGGGGCGGACGAAATGGCGAGGAAGGCCGGCTTGGTGTCGTCGCCCGGGCGGAGCTGTACGTACATGCCGGGGACGCGGTAGGCGTCGCAGAGCGAGCCCTTCTCCAGCGTGGTGCCGACGTCCAGCACGAGGTAGCGGTGGGCCTCCCAGAGGGAGGAGTTTTCGAGCACCGACACGACGTTCCAGGCGGTCTGCTGCTGGGTCTGGGCCGCGAGCGCGACGACGCGGGCGCGCGGGCGCGCGGCGGCGGCGAGCGAATGAGGGCGCCGCAGCGGGCGGCGCGCCACTAGCGCGCAGGGGCGCGTGGACACTAGACCACGCGAGGATGGGGCAAGGATCGGGTGGCCTAGCGCGCCCACGAAGGCGGCGCACGTGCGCCGCATGGTGGTGATGGCGGGGGCAGCGGGGGCGAGGGAGGAATGGAGATGCCGGGGAGCGGAAGGGGGTTCGGGAAGAGGGATGTGCGGTGGGGATGCAAAATATAAGGTGCAATTGGGTGGCGAGTGGTTTGATCTCACGAAGAGGAGGGGTGCCATATGGGGTGACGGTCCGCCGCTTTACAGTGACAGTTCATGCGAAGTAGACTTGGAGCTTGATTGATCCGCTTAATCCAGTTGTGGGCATGATCCATTCACTCGGAACTGTGGGGACATGTAGGAGACGTGTGTGGCGGGAGAGACGCTCTCCAGATTCGGTCCTTGAAAAGCCTTGTCCGCACTTGTACCTGAAGCCAACGATACGAGTAAGCAGTCGTGTTCAAAGCCTTGTCCGCACTTGTCCTTGAAACCAACAACGATACACGTAAGCAGTCGTGTTCACGTATACAATCGTAGTACTGTACGGGTACCCGTACAGTATGTCTGCAACCGTACACAGTACCCTTGGTACTGTGTACGGTTGCAGACATCCTCCTCATGTTCGGCATTTGTTGGATGAAGCCCAAGCGAACCAACATACTGTACATTTGCTACAGGGTCTTGCTTCCAGTTGCCGATACCGTACCTTCAAGTTGAAACTGTCCTCCATTACCTTGACGACCTTCCTCTTCCCCTCGCAGACATCCCTTCAACCCTTCTACGCCAATTCCGTATGGTCTTCACACCTAAATGAATTTACATCCATTCCAGATGATGCAATACGTCACGCCTTCCCGTCTCGATGCGGAAATGGCGAGAAAATGCTCTTTTTTTTATTTTGCTCCACTACAGTAACACATCCGTCATCGCCAGCGCGGCACCCACCCCAAGTCTCTACAGTATGTAAACGTAATTTACGCCGTCATCCAACGCCGTCATCCAGCGCCACACTCGCGACGCCGTCCGCACATACCCGCTCTCCCCACCCACCTCCCGCCACGTCCCTCCGCGACCATGACGCCACCCCGCGAGTGTCTCTACCTGACGCTGGGCCTGCCGCAGACAGCCACGACGTCTGAAATCCGCAAAGCGTACCGTCTGCAGGCGCTGTCGCACCACCCGGACAAGAACCCGTCGCAGCCTGCGGCGGCGGCGGAGCGCTTCAAGGCTGTGCAGCACGCCTACTCGGTGCTCTCGGACGACCATGAGCGCGCGTGGTACGACGCGCACCGCTCGCAGATCCTGCGCGGCCACGACCCCGCGGCGTCCGGCGCGGACGCGCAGCCCGAGGCGGCCGATGCCACCGGCGTCGACCTCTTCGCCTGCTTCTCGTCCGCGGCGTACAGGGGCTTTGCGGACGGCCCGGGCGGCTTTTACGCCGTTTATGCCGACGTCTTCGACCGTCTCTGGCAGGAGGAAGTCGATGAGATGGCGCGCCAGGGCCAGCGCGTGCCCGCGTCGGCCGCGTTTGGAGGCATGAACGCCGATTGGGACGCCGTGCGCGCGTTTTATACCAGGTGGGATGCCTTTTCTTCGGTCAAGTCGTTTGCGTTCGCAGACAAGTGGAACCTGGGCGAGGCTCCCAATAGGGAGGTGCGCAGGCTTATGGAGAAGGATAACAAGAAGGCTCGCGCCGCCGTGCGGAAGGAATTTATTTCCACGGTCCGCGAGTTGGCCGCGTTTGTGAAGAAGAGAGACCCACGCGTGGTTCGGCGGAGAAGAGAGGAGCAGCAAGTGCAGGAAAAGAGGCAGGAGCTGGTCAAGGAGAGACAGCGGGCCAAGGCTCGTTTGAGGAAGGATAATGCCGAGCAGATGAGGGCCGCGAGAGATGAGGCCCTGGAGGAGGATGCCGACGGACTAGATCAGATTCTTGAGGCGCTGGCTTTGGACGAGAGAATAGAGGCGGATAACAAAAGGGCGAAGAAAAAGAGGCGCGGGAAGAAAGCCGTGATCTCCTACTCAGAGGACGAGGCTTCTACGTCGGAAGCGGAAGGGGAAGAAGATATGGATTCCTTGGACCGGGCTGGAGACAGTGATGGGAATGGCGGTCCCAGTGACACACGCGTGGGCGATCACAGCAGTGTGCAGGACGATGAGGCTGGTAGCGAACTCGATGAGTTGGAGGACGAGGATGACGAGGGGAAAGAAGAGGTAGACCTGTATTGTGTCGCCTGTCGAAAACTTTTCAGAAGCGGTCCCCAAAAATCTGACCACGAACGTTCGAAGAAACACAGGTCTGCAGTTGCCAAACTCAAGCGTGAGTTGCTAAAAGAAGAAAAGGCGTTTGCGAAAGCAAATCCCAGTATGGCTACGGAAACTGTGCTTGGTACGTCCACGGATAGGGCTGCGGAGGCAGAGGAAAGTGAGCAATTGATCGATGAGGACGAGGAAGAGGCAGAATTCCTGCGCGCACAAGCGAAAAAGTCGAAGAAGAAGCGAAAGAAGCAATGTGCTCCAACGTTTGTTGATTCCAAACATGATGAGGACGATGGAAGAGAGCTTGCTTCTACAGGCACGGACCCATTGGAGGCGAATGGCAACCTTGCCTCAGCACATACCCCTGCCAGGGGGGGTCAGAGCGCGACAGACGCAAAGCTTGAAGGCGATAATGCGACTACCAGCGAGGTACTGCAAGAAACGAAGGCGGTGAAGCTGACGAAAAAGCAACAACGACGGCTTCGCGAGAGAAAGAAAAGGGAAGAGGCAGATGTTGGAAAGCCCGTCACGCCCGCAACTTTGAAATGTAACGTGTGCAGCGGACAGTTTGGATCCAGAAACAAGCTGATGCGTCACGTTGAGCAAAGTGGTCACGCCTTACACGTATCGGGGACGCCGACATCAAGACATCAAGGACGAATGACGAAATAAACAGAGTTTCAGGCGACGGTACAGTACCAAGGGTACCAGATGGCTTGGAGTTGCTGCACATGTTTGCAGTGCGAGACTGGGCAACGGGAGTTGTGAGTTGTGAGTCATCACCCCGCGCTGATAGCTGCTAACCGCATCAGGTCATCAACTAAATGGATAGCGTCATCACCAGCTGCCTTTTCAAGATGCACTGCAGCTTTCTGCAACGCAGATCCCAGTAGGGTCGTCCTGTCCTTATTGGTCAGCGCAGCAGCGACCAGCTCAACGACATCCTCTTCATCGAGCGCCTCCATACAAGGCTCTTTCCACATCTCATCCTCTGCTCCCCTCATCTCCCGCGGGCGTAGAAACCCTTGTCTCATAATTTCGTTAACGGCCGCGGTCACCAAGTGTCGAAAGTCGTCATACCAAGGCCCGTGTATGACACAACATGCGTAATGTGCTGCTGGGGTGAAACTAGAGCCCTTGCCTCCCCTGGCGAACGAATCACCCACGAGCACAACCGGCGCATACTCATAAAACGACTCTGCTCCCACAGGGCCATCCGCCACGTAGACGGCCGCGCTCTCCGTTGGGTTCTCAGCCCCTTCAGCCGCGCAGAGCACCTCCTCGCGACCGAAGTCTGCCTTGGTGGCAGCGCGACGAATGCGCGCACCACGCGTAGGCTGGGAAGGCGCGACGATGAGCAAGGCATTGCGGAGCCCCTCCCTCCCGCGAATCCCTGCATGTGCCTTCAGCGCGACCACCTCGTCCGCGCGGCCTTCGGTGACGGCCATCCAGACGGGCCTTCTCGCCCACGCGCGGGACACGTGTGCCGCGGGCGGCGCGGGCAACGCGCGCGCAGTGGGCGCGCGCAGGAAGGCCGGGCTGGCGGCCTTGCGCACGTGCGTGTCCGCGGAGCAGAAAGGGCCGAAGCGCTGCACGTGCGAGTGAGTCGGGGTGGTGATGAGCGCGAACGACGAGAGGATGTCGGACGCGGTGCGCGGGCACCAGTGGTGCAGGCGGGCCTCCAGCTCGGGCGGGAGGCGGGCGTCCACGAGCGCGGCCGGGACGTCCACGGCCGACGCGGCGCGGCGT